CCTTAATAAAAAAATCACTTAAACTATTTTTAAATGGTAAACTACTTTCTTCTGATTTATAGTTTATTAGAATTTTCTTTAAAATAGCGCGCGTACGAGTTTTTTACTTTAGGACACCCGCAAATGTGGGAAGTAGCCTTAAATGAGACGGATCTCGACCTTTCTGTGTGCTTTTAGCCTGCAATTTCAGGATAAAGCTTACATTCTACCGTTTTATTTTGTATCCATCATAGCGCACGTAAGAGTTTTTTCCCTTAGGACATCCGCAAATGTGGAAAGTAGCTTTAAATGAGACGTATCTCGACCTTTCTATGTGCTTTTTAACCTGCAATTTCAGGATAAAGCTTACAGTCCGCAACTGTTTTACTTTGTATCCATCATTTTTCGAGACAAGCATTTACTCTAATTGATTATGAGTTGATCCGTGGAAAGAAAACACCTTCCACCCCTCCTATGCTGAGACTGGGTCTGCCCAGTTCCTCTCCAAAGGTTTTGTTTATGTTGGTTGCTTGGTTTTCTGTTTGGCTTGTTGCATTCATTTAATGAACAGGAACTAACTGCGCACTTAAGGGATGATAGCCCGCGTGGTAAAATGCCACTTAACTACAAATGAAAAGGCAGCCGCGGTTTGTAAGATCAAATTCACGTTTAGCAAGAATTCTATAAGTGCAGATGAACTCACTTGATGAAGGCACCTGTTCGATGGTTTGTATTGCTTGACTTATTGACACTATCTCAAATCTGCCTGGAGGCAGGTATGGACCTCTTTCCCTGTTATTTAATTACTAAAATATTTCCAGCTTGATCAAACTATCCAAGCGTATTATATTTTATGCAGCTCGACCACTTTACATAACGATAAGAAGATTTTCCCGTTCTTGGGCAAAGTAACACGAACGGAATGCTCGTTAACAAATCACTTGGCTTGCGTGTATGATTATATTTAGGGCCGTTCATTATTTGTGGCCGGGGGAACAAGGATTTTTTTTTTGGGGGGGGGGTCACATGATTTCAATAGACCTGAGATGGGGACAACACTTATCATAAGGGGGAAGGGGGAAGGAGCATGAAGAAATAGAAGAAAAATTTAAGACACGATCTAATCTTTAGCTGTTATTCGCCGAATGCGAAATAAATACATTGTTGAGTAACCACCAGGACGAAATGGAGCGATTATTCAATGATAATCACTTAGTCTGAGGCGAATAATTGTTTTAGTATGATCTGATAAATAATTGCTAGGGACGTTCGAATTCTGTTGCCGAAATATTCGTTTTGATTTTAAAACCATTTTGATGACACTTATCGAGGAAAAGAGCCAGTTTCCACAAGAATTTCAATTAACTCAATCAGCAATGAATTTTGTGACGTTTTGACCTACTACCTACTTCTCGTTTCTCTAAAGATTGTTTTCCCTATCTGAAATAACTTTTAGTTTTTGTGTTTAACTGTCAGTACATTTGCTGTTGTTCAAGAAGATACCGTTCGAATCCGCCTTGTTTATTACAAAAAGAAGATTCATATTTCTTCCTAATGACAATGTTGTAAAACCTAAACTTATGGGTATCTGAGTTAGGAAGTAGATTGTAACACTGGCTTACTAACACTGAATTACTAACTCGAGGTCCTTCCTTTTCGGCGAAGTCCGTCGCGCAAAAAAACAGCAGAGAAAAAATTGACGATAGCGCTTCGCAGAGCTCTGGGAACTCTCTGGAGTGAAACGCACGAAAAGTAGAATAATTTTTTATTTTCGCTTATTATTATTTTTTCTTCGTCACAAATGAGGGAATTTTCTTAGTCTAATCTCGAGGATACATCTAAAAAAACCAAACAGGAAAGAGCTCTCTCTGTTACTCACATGATGTCACTGATTTTGAACTGAAACTCAGGATTAGGGTTCACTACCACGAAGGAAGTACCTGACCTGTGATTCATATCGGCTGCAAAAATAATATAACAATCTTTACTGTGAGGCAATGTAAGGTATATATATATTTTTCAGTTATTACATGTCGAGCTGTGTCATACGAACTGCAAATACCGCCAAATGGCATCAGCAGCAAAAAAGAAAAAAAAGAGGAAAAAAGAAAAAAGAAAAAAAAAAAGTTAAGAAATACACTTTTGCTACCAATCAAAGAAATAAAATGAGAGTAGTGAAGCATGAACCATAAGCTATCACAAGCTGGGTTTGTAACTTGTCGAGGGGTATCTCCAATTATCACAACGATAATAAAAGGGCAACATATTTGAAACACTCCTCCGCTCAACATTAGGGGGATAGAATGATGAGCAATGAGAATGAAGCTGCTGTAAATGTTCTCCCGAAAACTAGATATGCGTAGAACGATATGGAAAGAAACGAGTCTAATACAAAGGCGAGGGACTCCGAGAGCGGCAGAAAACCAATAACGACTAAAATGACTAAGAACAGGCAAATGAAAGGATGAATGAATGAATGAATGAATTAATGAAAGCCTTTATTTAAAGAGGGTAGCACTTAATAGCCAGAGGCTAATAAACTTGTGGCCCTCACAGATTACACAACTATATACAATCAGATAACTATTTGTAAGCTAAAGTATGTAAACATTTCAGTAAAAAGCGTTTAAAATAAGACAAGATTCAATTAAGAAGATATTATTAAATAGTAAAATGATGCAAACATTGTTGTTCCTTAAAAATCTTGGCAAACATGTTCTTTTTAAAACATGCTATAGAATCTAGTTTCCTAATTTCAATAGGTATACTATTCCACAGTCTTGTAGCCGAAACAGCGAAAGAGCGTCCTCAG